CAGCTGAATGAGTATTACCAGCAGCTGTTGCAGCAAAATCAGATTCATCAGCAGCAGTCTTCGTATGGACAGCAAAACCAAAACAGTAATGGGTATAAAGGCGCCTCGGAGATCAAGCACTATCATTAGAATAATCATCGTGTTTCAACATCTACATAACATTCTCCATGGTGATTCGGCATCATCACGTTGGCCACTGAAACTCCTGTGAAGACTATTGATCGCCCACCACACTCAATTACAAGAAAATTGAAGGCATCTTCATGAGAATAGGTGAGATGAAAACTATGTAAAATGGTATCAGAGGAAAATACTTAAACCAATCATACTGGAGCGGAGAATTTATAAACCTTACAACTTGCTCTACCGGTTAACATTTTTATCTACCAGGATAAAAGTTTAAGAAGTTCTAAGCTGGGCTGTTTTAGAGTGGGTCAGGTGACATACTCGTAATACCAGGATCGAAGAAACCATTGGTGGTGGCCAGCCATCGAGCAATGTCATTCTTCATTTTTGATAATAATAATATTTTGTTCATTTTTTAGAGGCTATTTTTGTAATGTAGTTTTTTTTAATCTTATTTCACTAACATATTTTAGTTATTTTTAATAAATATTTAGCATACAATTACTCTCTTATTTTACCTTTAACCAAATAAAACAACACACTACACAGGTAGTAGGTACACACATTGTCGGTAATTAGTCTCACTATGGTTTTCCTAAGAAGGCCTTAGAGAATTAAGGCATACATGATATTGAACATTGTATTTATTATTCTTCCTTTGTTTTTGATTTTGTTTGACGGTGTGACGGTGTGGGAGAGGCTAAGTGACTGGTGATGAAAAATGTGTGGTTTTTTATTTTAATCTTGTTCCTCTTTTTTATATCACTGCACCTACCTATGTACGCTGTATTACTGTGCAGGAAACTGGCACCGGCTGAAAACCAGCGCTGCATGGACCTAGTGCCGTACAGCTTACGCTGAGCCGGATGCCCTTGTCACCTTATTTTTAATTGTTAAGCTGTGTTAAAGTTGTATTTTTTTGTTATGGTGACAATAAAGGTTTATTTATTTATATTTATTTATTTATATTTATTTTTATACTTAATATTATAAATGCGAAAGTGTAGTTGTTATCTTTATCTGTCTGTCTTAAACTGCTGAACTGCTTTAGATGGGTAAAGAGATAGTTTGAGTCTTGGGAAAGGATATTTTATGTTAAAGCCTTTATCCCAGAAATCATCCTTTACGGGGTAAAAAGAGGAGTAAAAGTTATGTATAGGGAATCAATAACCACTGATCCGATTTAGATGAAAACTTTTAATCAGAAAAATAGCTAATGATTTAGGCTGAGTTGCACCATCTTACTCTAACTTTGACAAATGTAAAAAATCTGTCAAACTCCATACAAAACGCACCGGTTATCTGTTCGGTCGGTCTTAGTTACCGTTAAAGTTAGGTGGTGCCACTCAGCCTTAGATTTTTGTTAATCCTGAACTGGCAATAGATTTGATATACCAGTATATCATACATCTCAGGGAACACCAGCCTAAACAATACGAAAGTCATCTCAAGGCGGTGGCTTCGGTTAACCCGTCAATGCTCGAGTTATTATCGAGACACGACAGCCCAAGACTGTCTTAGTTAGTCTAAGGGACCGCAACCAGATATTACATAGTATAGGAAATATTTAAACTACGTTACGACTTTGGACACATGCACATTGCACGCATGTAAGAAAGAAAACTACCTGATGGTGCCAATGATTAGATGGTTTACAAAAATATTTACAAGTTCGTGTATAGTAGGTACTTAAAGTCTAGCACTTAACTGAGAAAGTGCCTGAGGTATGGAATACCACGGGAGGGTGTTTTTTTTACTTCAAACGTCATTAGATGTGCTTCAGACTTGTATGTTCTATCATTATGTTATAGTCTTCAAGAGGTTCCTCGTTGTGGATAAAAAAAAAGTCACCGGTTGTCGGTCGTTTGGTGTAGTGGTTCGTAACGGACTACTATGCCGAGAGGACCCGGGTTCGATTCCTGGCTGGGCAGAAAATGAAATGATGAATTTTAATTTCTGTGACGGATCTGGGTGTTACTATGTATAATAAGTATAACGCTGACACAAGTTGCTTCTTTGTGTCCAAAATAATAAAGAACTATGAAGATGTTCTGCTATCTCTCTTACTATGCTATATGGAGGCCTGTGTTATTAGCGCGCGGTCCACACGACCCCAACTCGCAAACACGCCGTTATCTCGGCCACTTAACGAAGTGCGGGTTAACTCAGGATTAGACTTAGTCCTGCTAATGTGGATTCAAAGGATGAGCAACATACCACCTTAAAAGCTATGGAATAAGAATGGTTTTTATGTGCATGATATGGCTGGATTGTAATCTGGTAAGACAGTGTTAGAGAGCTGGTGGTGAAATATAATACATTTTTATATTTAAGTTATATTGAATTGGTATTCACTTGGTTCAGGCCCGTGAATATCATTAAAAAACCGATGGCATTAGAAGACTCATCGTGATACACATAAGTATAAATAATAATAATAATACCAACCAGTCTGTTCAAAATTATTTTTATTTTTAAGTTTGTGATAATGTCAATATTGGGACTGATAAATTATTACAAGTAAATACAAACTTTTCACCGACTTGCCAACCTGCCAAGTTTCTACTTTTTAGTGATATTTTTTGGAGTCGGTTTTACTACGTATATTCTTCAATCAGAAAATGTTGTGGGGCAAAACCGATGCATATAATATAAGGGATAGATTCCTTGATGAATTGCCACATGCCATATTTATGGGCGGTAGTGATTCATCGCAAGCGGGATGTATGGTGTGTGAATCCATCAAACTTATGACTGGAATCGGGAGAAAGTGAACGGTTTGATCCGCTATGAGCTTTAGGTTTTCACTTGTTTATTTTAAACAATCTCCTTGATACTTCTTGAGGCGCTATCTAGTTAAATGGAGGCCTAGCACAGATTTTATTGTCACGCTAGTATCACCACGACCGGTGGCGATCTATTGTGATCGCCAGTATATATTATATTAACAGTTCGCCAGGCTTGTATCTATTAATTAGGCGGTTTTCGAAGTTATTAGGGTAAGTTTGTTGAAACATACTATCCTTTCCTAAATTATTATAAAAGTTTATGAAGAAAGATTGGATGTTTACGCCTAAACCACAGAACCGACTTAGATAAATGTAGAGAAACCTAATTTAATTTTGAGACAAAACCCAGAATAGTTTTTTATCATGGATTTCGTAAAAGGGCTATCCGGTGCCAAGTGGAACACATCATTCCTTTTAACATGTAAGTTTGTATTCACATCACACCGCCTAGTGATAGCAAGTCTATGGCATCTAGCTCGAGGATCTCCATGGCCTTGGACCGATGTTTTCTTCGAGGATATGATTTTCGCCGTGTCCTACGTTCTCGTGAGTTACATGAAAAATTGATAGTTGGAAAAGTTTGTTCTACGAGTGTACTAGTTGCCTAGAAAGTAACTTTTTATTTAGTAACACAGATGTATCTGAGAGCTGGGATACCAAGAGTTGCAATTCGTCCGACAGATAAATTCCAATCAAGCTATCAGTGACTTTAAATCAGAAAGTGGTATAGGTTATACCATAGATATTTCAGCAATGCCTTAATAAGTAACATCACTATGCAAACCCATAACAAAGGGAGTTTTTTTTAACATTAATTTTATATTTTTTAACGAACGCTCCGAGCTCGGATTTTGTGCAGACAAAAGTGGTAGGTATGAATGGTGTTATGCTTTTTTTGGACTAGGAGGTGATTTTGCTGGTGGACCCTTATGCATTTTTAAGTGAACGTTAATCAAGGATCTTGGTATATCTTTTCTTAGGACTGAAAAAGAGTTAGCATGTACAAAGATACTACAAAAGATTGTGTGCTTTACCCTCTAAACAGTGGCTCCCAAACTTATTTAGTCTACTGCCCACTTTGAGAATAAATTATTTTTTAGCGCCCCCCATTTTTGTAGTCAAGAGTCGAGCTCAGTCGATGTCTAAGAGTCCTCCTAGTAGATGACGCCTCCCAAGCCTCTACACAACGTCCCGACTTTTTGTCTGGGTCTCTTACCACCCCCCTTTAAGCCTGCAGCGCCCACAAGGGGGCGTTATCGCCCACTTTGGGAAAGACTGCTCTAAAGTATGACTTCTGGGATAAAAGCTTTAACATAAAATATCCTTTCCGAAGACTAAAACTATCTCTTTACCCATCTAAAGCGGTTCAGCAATAATAATGTCACAAGGTTAATAATGAAAACAGACATATAAAGATAACAACTACACTTTCGCATTTATAAATTACCTAAGTATAAAAATAATACATATAATGTTCAATATTATGTATGCGTTCCTAGGCAAACCATAGTGAAACTAATTACCGATAATGTGTACCTACTACCTGTGTAGTGTGTTGTTTTATTTGATTTAAGATTTAAGGTAAAATAAGAGAGTAATTTTATGCTGAATATTTATTAAAAATAACTAAAATATTTTAATGAAATAAGACAAAAAAACTACATTACAAAAATAGCCTCTAAAAAATGAACAAAATATTAATTATTATTATCAAAAATGAAGAATGACATTGCTCGATGGCTGGCCACCACCAGTGGTTTCTTCAATCCTGGTATTATGATCACCTGACCCACTCTAAGACAGCCCAGCTTAGGACTTCTTCAACTTTTATCCTGGTAGAAAGATGTTAGCTGGTAGAGAAAGTTGTAAGGCCTATAAATTCTCCGCTTCATTAAGATTGGTTTGTATTTTCCTCTGATACCATTTTACATTGTTTTCATCTCACTTATTCTCATGAGGATGCCTTCAATTTTGTTATAATTGAGTTTGGTGGGTGATTAAACTTCACAGGAGTTTCAGTGGCCACGTGATGATGCTGAATCACCATGGAGAATATTATGTAGATTTTGAGACACGATGATTATTCTAATGATTGATCTCCGAGGTGGTTGGGATTTCCGTGGTGGTGGAGATTTGGTTTTGCTGTCCATTCGAAGACTGCTGCTGATGAATCTGATTTTGCTGCAACAGCTTCCGGTAATACTCATTCAACTGCTGTTCGTTCGGGTAATGATGGTAATTTGGGTACGCCTGCTGGTAGTTTGGGTACGCCTGCTGGTAATTTGGGTACGCCTGCTGGTAATTTGGGTACGACTGCTGGTATTTTGGGTACGTCTGCTGGTAATTTGGGTACGACTGCTGGTAGTACGGGTACTGCTGTGGGTAGTACGGGTATTGTTGTGAGTAATAAACGTACGGCTGGATGTAATATTTGTACTGTTGTTGCTGTTTGCGATCCCCAGAAGGATGGCATAATGATATGTTTACGAGCAGCAAGTAAAACAACCGATACGAACTCAAGCTGGTTTATTACTGAGTCAACGGTCGCGACACCTTTACATTTATATCCGTTGGATAGTTTTTATTGGTATACCCACTTTGGTATACCCACATATACATCATCCCTCCAACATTAATTAGAGACCCTGGTGACAAATAAAATAACAATTAGTACTGTATCTAATTTACACAATATTAATCTAAAAGTACTTCTTATAATCTACAATTTTTCGTGGTCTTCTCGACCGCTGTTCGAGAGGCCTATCAACTTCTATATTTTCATCACTGTTTGGAGCATTATGCGTCTGCGGTACGGAGTTACTACTATTTGAACTAGCAGAAGGGATAGGCCGCTCTAACTCATTACAATCAGCATCATTGAACGTATCAATATCTTGTGCTTCGACAAATTCATCATCATCCTCACATTCACCACCTTCCCCCACGACGGTAGCAAACGTTTGTGCGGGCGCAGCAGGCGCGACCGGGGCGCCGCCGGGCGCGGAGGCGGCGGCCGGGCCGCCCGGGCTCGCGACCGCGGGAGGCTCGTCCGCCGCCGGCCCCGACGACGTCATCTCGTCGTGAGTTGAAGGCGATGACTGTTGGTCAAAATGATAATCATTTTGTTCCTCATAGTTATTGTCCGGTTCTACAATATTATTTCCCTTAAATTTCATTATTTGGTCAAGATGGCGTTTATGTGTGACATTATATTGCTTAAACTTAATCTCAAACATTCTGTTACCCAACACTTTAGTAATAGTTCCTGGGGACCATTTTGATTTACGTGCAACATACCACTTTGCCCAGACGGTGTCACCAATATTAAAACATCTATTATTTGGCAAATCATTGTTTTGTAACTCTGATCTTTCATAATTATTTTCAGAAAAAATTAGGTCTAATCTTGATTTTAAGTCCCTGCCCATCATAAGCTTTGCAGGCGTGAAACCGGTTGAGCAATGCACAGTATTGCGATAATCAAAAAGAAACCCCCATAATTTTTCTTGTACCGCTAATTGAGTTAAATTATTATTATCTAAAATGCATTTTAACATTTTTTTGCAAGTTTTTACGGAATTTTCCGCTTGGCCATTGCTACAAGGGTGATAGATAGGAGATGTCAAATATTTTATGCCATTATTACTACAAAACGCCTGAAATTCAGTTGAACATATTTTGGGATCGTTATCTGATACTATTAAATGTGGTATTCCGTAACGGGAAAACAAATATTTCAAATTACGAATTAGCGCGCTGGAAGACGTGCCACAATTATTCATGTGGATACATTCTAGCCATTTACTAAATGCGTCTATTACGATTAGGTATACGTTTCGCCCTACGGACATGTAATCGATGTGTAACCGGCGCCAGGGCCCGGCGGCGCGCGGCCAGGCCGCGGGCGGCGCGCGCGGCGGGTCGCTGCGCACGGCGGCGCAGCGCGCGCATGCGCCCACCCACTGCTCGATGTCGCCGTCGATGCCGGGCCACCACATTCTACTTCGCGCTGTGCTTTTAGTTTTAACGACTCCGAAATGAGCCGAGTGCAGTTCCTCTAACATACGTTTTCGAAATACTGTAGGTATTACAACTCTGTGCCCTCGAAAAAGACAGCCATCGATCTCTTCTAAATCTGATTTACATTGAAAATATGGCAATATATTTTTACATGTAATTTTCCTAGGCCAACCGTGCCTCATATACCTAAATACCGTTTGAACAATTTTGTCGTTATGTATGGCTTCCCTAATATCTACAAAAGAAACCGGTTTTACGTTTGCATCTAAAAATTTCAAATAACAATAACCGTTCACGCCTTCCTCTTCCTGTTCAACATTATTTGGAATAGGTAACGGTGCGCGAGAGAAATAATCAGCAATTAAATTGTTTTCGCTAGATATATATTTCACTGTATAGTTATAAGCAGAAAGTATGAGTGCGTAACGCTGCAACCGAGAAGCAGACGTAACAGATATTCCGTTTTTATTACCAAAAATTGAAAGCAACGGTCTGTGGTCCGTTTTTAATATGAATGGATCCTGCCTACCATACAAATACTGGTGAAAATGTTTCACACCAAATATTATGGCCGTAGCTTCTTTTTGGATTTGGCTATAGTTTTTTTCGCTAGCCCCCAACGACCTAGACGCGAATGCGATGGGCCTCTCCGTGCCGTCCGGCAGCTGGTGCGCCAGCACGGCGCCGAGCCCGGCCGGGCCCGCGTCCACGGCCAGCGTGAGCGGCGCGCGCGGCTCGAAGTGCGCCAGCACGCGCGCGGAGCCCAGCTCTCGCTTCACGCGCTCGAACGCCGCCGCCTGGCGCGGCCCCCACTCCCACGCCACACCGCTACGGAGTAACTCATGCAACGGTTCTAACACTGATGACGCATTCGGAATAAAGTTGCGATAATAGTTTACCACGCCGAGAAATCGTTTTATGCCTAAAACATTAGTGGGCGCTGGAGATTTTATTATGGCTTCGACTTTACTCGGGCATGTTTTAAGGCCGCTTTTATCTATAACGTAACCCAAGTATGTGACACTGTCTTGAAAAAACGCGCACTTTTCTTTTTGCAGTCTTAACCCGGCTTCATGCAGTCGTTCTAATACTTCTTTTAGACGTGACATGTGGGTTTTCCTATCTGGCCCGGTACAACAGACATCGTCTAACCAACACGAAACTCCATCTATGCCGGACAGCAAGGTTTCCATTGCGCGCTGAAAAATAGCTGGTGCATTAGCGAGACCGTACACTAACCGAGTATATTTAAAAAGGCCTTTCGGTGTATTAATAGTTGTTAGCTCTTGAGACGAATCGCTTAATAAAAATTGATTGTAAGCATTACTTAAATCGATTTTTGAGTAATGTTGTCCACCCCCAATTTTGGCAAAAACTTCTTCAATACGTGGTAAGGGGTATTTATCAATTTTTAAATCTTTATTTAAAGTACAAGAATAATCACCAGCTATTTTCACCTTGCCGTTTTCCTTTAGGACCGGTACTATTGGTGTGGCATATTCTGAAAAACGAACAGGCACTAATACACCTAATTTGACAAGCCTAGTTAGTTCCTCATCTACTTTGTCTTTTAGGGCGAAAGGTATAGAACGCGGTTTGAAAAATTTTGGAACAGAATTTTCCTTTACATGTAATTCTACCTTGAATTTATTAAAACACCCTAATGCATCTTTCCAAAGACCTGGGAACTGGTTTAATAATTGCTGTACGTCGTTCTCAGCGCCGCCGTCATTTTTATATGTATAATGATTACAAGTAGTGAAACCTATATTGAACAACGCCATGAAATCACGGCCCAATAGCGGTGGTCCGCCATTTTTCACAATATAAAATTTTAGATCATTGATTTTATTTTTAAACGACACTTGAGCTATAAAGTATCCAAGGGGCGTGATTTTGTGGCTGTTGTACAAACACATTGTTAGGTCACTTTTATGCAATTTAACCTGCGGAAAATATTTCAAATATAATTTTTCAGAGATAACACTAGTACCAGATCCTGAATCAAGTTCCATGCATAATTTTAAATTATTTACGAGTATATCAAGTTTTATAGGTTCATAATTTACATACCTAAGGTTAAAGACTTCACATTCCTTACAATCGCTTTCTATGTTATTTAACCTTAACTTCTCACTCTTTTCAGCACGGCAAACCTTCCTTAAATGCCCTTTTTGGCCACAATTATTACACCGATAACCTTTAAAACGGCACTTTGATGACACATGATTTTTTAAACCACACACTGAGCAATACACATGATCAGATTTTTCATGAGACGTCTCCTGCTGAGTCGCCTTGGTTGATCTGTGATTTTCACTGACTCGATACACCGGTTCCTGCTTCACGACGCCGTGGAGGCCACCGCTGGCGGCCCGCGCCGCCCGCGCACACGCTGCCTGCTGAGCAATCTCCAGAGCCTTGGCAAACGTCAGGGTGCTGGAGTCCTGTTCAAACAGCCTGTCTCGTTCGGGGCCCGCATTCAAACCGAGTACGAATCTATCTCTCAGTACCACGTCCAACTCTGTACCGAATTCACAATGCACAGCAAGTCCCCTGAGTCGCGCGCCCCATTCTTCAGCGCTTTCCATCTCTGACCTGGTGGCTTCGTAAAACTTCGCTCTGTCCGCAAATGTTGATCTCTTTGGAGTAAAATGATCGTTTAGTTTCTTGACCAAGTCCTTAAACGATGTCTCTTCCAACTTTTGCGGGTGAAATAAGTTTTTTGTCAATCGGTACGATTCATCGGACAAATGAGTGAGTAAAACCGCTCTCTGTTTCGTTTCGTTGATATCGTTCAATTCTATAAATTGAACCAATCGGCTGTAGAAAATCTGCCAATCTTGACTTTTATAATCAAACACAGAAATATTTCCGATGTACGCCATTTTAGAAACGCGTCGTGGGTAGATCGTCGCCAGTGATATGTTTACGAGCAGCAAGTAAAACAACCGATACGAACTCAAGCTGGTTTATTACTGAGTCAACGGTCGCGACACCTTTACATTTATATCCGTTGGATAGTTTTTATTGGTATACCCACTTTGGTATACCCACATATACATACATCGGTGTAGAGCTCTTCCAGCAATGGTTACATGTTTATCTTCAGAATGGTCACCGAACAATTTACACAGGTTACCGTACACGACGGTCGCTAGCAGAAGGTTCACGAATAGAAGTCGGAACATCATGGTCGTCCGCACTGATACACTGACTAACCAGCAATTTCGCTATCGACGGCTTATATGGAGTGATTGTGACAGGAAAATAGTGATATGACCACACATGTGATGATGTGACCGATGAATGTACTTTTTGGAATTGAAATTAAAATATTGCTCGATTCATTATGTTGCAAGAATAGGTTAGCTGACTCATGTCAACATTAACTAAAATATGTGATATTTATTTCATATAACTGTTTGGCTTTAAAAACATTTTTAATACGACTGTTACAAATAAGGTAAAAATTTTGCTACCTACGTGTCGTGCCACGCGCAGTGTAGGGTTCCGTAGTTGTCCGTCGTTACCACAATATATTTCAGAAACAAGCAATTACCTACTTCATCTAAAGTCACTTTTAATATTTTCTTCTAAGGAATTTTTACTAGTTAAAAATTTTATAATACATGAGTCAAATGACTATATCTAAAATTCTGAAAGTTTATGAAAAGCAGTATTATTACGAATTTTTCCAGACTATTCAAGCCAACAGTGACACTACGTAATTTATTTCAATGCAACAACACAAGGTTTAAATTACAATGAAATTATATTTTTGCAGCGCGTTACTGGGCTGGATACAACCGCATACAATTAGGTAAATCCGCTTCAAGCTGCTTTTAAAATTGTAAAATTTCTTTTATGCACAGTGCACACTCTTGTTAGAGAACAACGGGGAGACTGAAGCGAGTGACGAGAGAAATAAATGCTAAAGCGCAATTACTTTTTGCATATTTTAGCACGTTGAGCACATGGTACAAAACATAAAGAAAATTAATCTTACTAGAGCAGAGAACATAGTACACAGAACTGACGGCCAATTGGTGCAGCAAGGCTCGGGAGTGGAGGCCACGTACTGGAAAGCGCAGTGTAGGACGTCCACTCACAAGGTGGACCGACGACCTCATAAAGGTAGCAAGAAGGGGCTGGATGCAGGCTGCTACCAACCGGTCATTATGGAAATCATTGGGGGAGGCCTATGTTGAGCAGTGGACGTCCTGTGGCTGAAATGATGATGATGATGATGATGATGATGATGATGATGATGATGATGATGGTGAATCCTACTAGTACTATCCTTCCTACTAGGGATGGGTGGATGAATGTTTGTTACTCTTTCACGCAAAAGCTACTGAAAAAGATTTTAGTGAAACTTTTATAACATTGTTTAATCAGAATAAAACAAGCCTTGTGACATTATTATAGTTACTAGGTAGATATCTATACTTACTACATAATGATGACTGTGTGTGTATTCTATGTTTTGACATAATTAATGTTTTACTGGGCGCTTATCCCGAGTCACATTATAAGTTTCGAGACGTGTTTTCTTGAAAAAAATATTTTTATAGTCTGGGTCGTTCGTTCGTTCGTTAGTTTCAGCCGAAAGACGTCCACTGCTGGACAAAGGCCTCCCCCAAGGATTTCCACAAAGACCGGTCCTGCGCCGCTCGCATCCAGGCACATCCCGCGAACTTCACCAGATCGTCGGTCCACCTAGAGGGAGGCCTGCCCACGGTCTGGGTCAAAATCATTAAAATAACCAGGTACTCACTCAGTAAAATCAGCAAACATGAATCTCTACCTCTTCAAGAAACACAACAAAGCGGTACTTTGTATCTCGATATAAATCGCGCCATTTCAGAACATTTGATCGTCAAATACAGGAGCGCTACACTTAGTGCATCCAGGTGCAATGCGGTGAACGCTTCGGTTTAAGCCTCGGGGTAGACAATTATAAAAAAACAAGCGGCTCTAGTCCCAAACTAAGCAAAGCTTGTACTATGGGTATTGGACAACGGATAAATAGAACGTAAGCCTATACTTAATACTTTTTTTGTAAATACATACATATTATACATAGAAAACACTAATACAAGCAAATATATTCATGCACACAAATATTTGTACACGTATTGAGCGGGAATTGAACCCGCGACCTTTCGGCATAGGGGTCGGTTTTCTAACCACTATACCAAACGGCCGACATGTAGGTTTAGGTATACAAATATTTATAAAAGTAGTAGGTAGAGCTATACCTATTTAATATTTATAAATGTAGTAAATAGTTATATTTTGACACACTGTCACAAAAAGACCTGTGACGAATTGAATTTCATGCGGAAAAAGATAGGGAAAAAGATCTAGTTCATTAATAATAAGCGTTAATAAGCGCTTATTATAGTGAATATTTATATTTTTATTTATTTATTTTATTTGGTGCACAAAACAGGGATACAACCATAACATACAAAGCGTTTAAAGCAGGTTATACAGTATAACTTGTTGCAGCTCCAATAACAAGTGCACACAACATACAAATCGAGTTAACAATATACATAATACATAAATTATTATAGAAAAATAATTAATACAGGGCTTGGAATCACAACTCCGTATATACAGGGTGGAATTTTGTAATGCCACCTGGAGGGAAAGTACCCTTATTACTGTAGATAGAAAATTTTACTGAAAGAGAACATTCCTTTATTTTTTAAAAGAAAGAGAACTGCATTCATAGATTTTCGAAAATTTTTCAAAAATTCTCTACCATACCATACAATTTTCTGTACATAATTAAAATAATTTAAGATTTCATGGTTTTCCTTATATTTGATTTATCAAGTTTGTTAGAGAGATTTCATCCTTATACTTAACCCTAATACTTAATCCTTATACTTAATCCTCGTTGCAGAAAAAAAAAAAAAAAAAAAAAAAAAAAAATGATCGATGCACTAAAAATACAGGGTGTAATTTTTAACAGATTTTAGTTGGTTCGGTTCCCGGGTGTGGCAAGCAAATTTTTGGAAATCTTTGAATGCAGTTCTATTTCTTTTCATAAATAAAGGAATGTTTTCTTTGAGAAAAATTTTCTATCTACAATATTAAGACTACTTTCCCTCCAGGTGGCCTTACAAAATTCCACCCTGTATAATTGTATTGCATGTTAATCTCTAACCACTAACAATTGTATTGCACGCGTCGCCGTAATATCTGTTTCAATAGCAATCAGCATACCATTATTAATTGCAATGGATCTTAGCGCCGTTAATCACGATAGATGATATCGAGAAATACATGTATATTGTAGACCTACAATGTGGTATTGTAATTCTATAGTTAGTTCAAGGTGTCATATTGTCTCTTTATCATCATTTCAGCCACAGGACGTCTACTGCTGAAAATAGGCCACCCCAAATTATTTCCAGATTGGGTCGGTTGGTGGCGGCCTGCATCCAGCGCATTCCTACATTTATGAGGATATCTGTCCACCTTGTGGATGGAAGTTCTACGCTTATTTATTGAGACCACCAATAGCAATTGTATATGGACCGTTTACAGTCTGTGTCTAGCCTTAAACAACCATCACGTTAAAAACGGAAGTACATTTTTTAGTCCGTTATCGTATGTAAACCTATTTAGGCCCAATAAACAACGGTACAGTCAAGTATTAAAATTAAAACCTATATCTATAAAAGCGAAAGGACACTGATTGACTGACTCACTCATAACGAAATCTCAGAAATTACTTGTGCTAGGTCAAGGTAGGTATAGTAGGTATCAAATTTATTAGGTGCTCATTATGACGGGATTTTGCAAAATTCAACCCCTAAGGGAGTAAAACAAGATCCACGCGTACGAAGTCGCGGGCGGCCGCTAGTTCTTTATAAGCATGTAAGCCTTAAGGCCCAAACACGTCCCAAATAAACAATTCATATTTTTGGGTCCCATTGGGCAATCTTCAGGGCTTCGTATTGAGAGACTCTACCACTATAACCACTAAACCAGTGGCGATATAGAGTGTAAAGTTACACTGCACTTAACATTTCCAACAAGTTTACAACTGCCTCGTCCAATCTGTGTGAATGGATCCCTACATAATATCCGGCGACAGTGACAAATGGCCGTCATAGCCAGAGAATCCGGAGATTATACGGATCCGGATAAAAAATCTGGCGCAACATTTGTACTGGAATCAACATAATAACGTTCAGTATTGCCGAGGTTTTAGTGGCTTATGAAATTAGGCATTTGTTGAAAAGACTTGGTTTTATAATTCCAATGATACATCTTCTAAACTAAAACTTTGGTTCTAAATTAACATTTTGGTCTTGAACACGACGTTTACTATTGACTAGTTGCATCTCAACAATTGTATTTATTTACTTACCTCTAAAATGCACTTGGAAATGTTTAAAACTAATCTCGGTTTTAAAATCACCAGTGATCTTTATTTATTACATAGCGACATACGCCATATTTAGGTATGTATTTTGCACTAAAGAAAACATTATTAATAAGATTTTTCTATGGTATGAAGTACCTATTTCATTGATGATTGATTCATGAATTTTTACTATTTCTACGAAAATTGTAGCGGGTACTGTTAAATAGTCCCATTTTGGTATGGACAGAATTATCTCTACAAAACTGTTATACATTTAACGTAGACGTTTCACTAAACTCCTAATTTATCCTTTGCTCTACCACAAACAAATGCCTGTTTAAAAGGTACAGACTTACGAACAGATTAGCATGACAGTGCGGAAATAACGTTCAGAGATAAATGCGACGGTTCCGTATAAAAAACGTTATTTGTTTGTGTTTACAAATGTTTTTAAAACTTATTTTAAAAACTCATGTTTTGTTATCAAATTGATAATAAGTATTTTGTAAGAAATACGGCATCGACCACCATACGGTTGTATTTTTATAAATATTTGAAAAAAATATATTTAAATGGCGGCCGCTAGTGTATTAATAAAGTAATAGTAAAAACAACGAGCCACCACGCTACTAACCGCCCTCTGCAAACAAGAGGCTATTGAGTGGT